ATACAAAATTTTATTGAGCAAAATTAACATTTTAATGTTGCTTACTCAATGATTTGCCAATCATTATTTAAAAAATTTCAACTTACAAAACTCCAAATATAAATATACAGTTCAATAAATAGTTTTATTAAACAGTTAACTTAAAAATCAACCATTTAATAAATGTTTAGCCAAAACATAGAGTACTCTATAAAATGTGAAAACATGTAGTTGTAATTATATTAGTTATATACACCTGCAGCAATTTAGAGACAAAATTGTTTAGAATTGTAAGTGCCAAGAAATCAATAAATAATAAAAATGAAAGGCACTGTTATATTTAAATATATTTACTTACTCTAAAATAAGTATAAATTAAATTTATGGAACTTGAAGAATATTTCAAATCACTTCAATAGGAAAATAATAATAATAAATATAAATTAGGCCATACATATAAGACTAGTAAATAAAGACATTAAACATAATGGTAAATTTATACAATGGACCGTCAGGAGACAATTAAAAATAGGTAGTGACATTAAAATTAAGTTATACAGATTGACATAAATTTGTGAAGTGTAGTTTGGAAGTTTGTACAAATTAAAGGTTACCGAATATTCTGGAAAAATCTATACATACATAAATATTTTTATCTAAAGCAAGAATGTCATACATTGATACATTCTAAAAAGAAATAGAATCATTTACGTTAAGACTTCTATAACATAAATAATGAATATATATATTTCCCTCACAAATTCTATATATTAAGATCATTATCATAAACATCTAAATTGTATAATAAACCTATAATTAATTCTTGGGTATAATTTTATTTCACTTTAATTTGATAAGGTTTAATTGATTTAAATTTTTTTTTTAAATGATCTATTTACTTGAGAAAAACTTTTAAATTTTTAATATTTGCGGCCAATCTCAGTGTCACCAGTCTTCTATCTCTTACTTAGAAAATGTATTAATTAATTTCTACTGTGTGTGTCATAAACCAAATGTATGTTGATCATGCATTTTTATCTACCAATATCAAATTAAATGAATTGTTTTAATACATGGTATAAAACAGTCTTAGTAAATATTTATTAACATATAAAACATCTAATACAATTGTCAACTACATTTTTTTAATTATTGACTAGTATTAAACTAAAATACACGTTAATGTATAATGTCATCATAATTCTAAGAGGTTATATAATAAATCAGTAGCATTTGACATAAATAGGTGTATAAATATAGTGCAGCATAAAACTAAATCTAGATTGTGCAATAATTAAAAGTATATTACAAAAGCTTTAAGGATCAATTAAGTGTGTTAAAATGTTGCCATAGTGTTTATCTCGATACTTCATTATTTATTATTGTTTAGATTACGTTCATCACAAATAATTTAAATAAATAATTGTTTTATCTTTAGCATTTTAAATTGACATGACTAAAAGTATATTATACGAACGCTTTTAATTATGGCACTACAATTTCAGATTTGTATTTTAATTTCATAAATTTTGAATAATATAGGGATTCTAAATTTATAATTTTAAACTGTAATAATAAAACTAAAAATATAAATAAACTGTAATTACAATAAATACATCATCATTGACATAAGAAGTATGTTTTTTAACTTAAAAAATCATGATTGATATAGCAAGCAGAATAACTTAATACTTACTATTTTTAATTACATAAACTAATGATCATTATTAATTAACTGTTAATTTAATTAATATAAATTTATATGTTAATTAACATGGTAAAAAAAAATAATGTTACATATCTWAAAAAGTAACTATATTTCTTTGACTGGACAAAAAATGTACTTAAATCAATTCAAATTTTGAAAATAAGACTTAAATTTTCTGCAAAGTGTTTAAAGGATACATTTTTCAGCAAGGGGAACAATTTAAAATAAGCTTATTAATCCTAACATTTTGGAAAATTTTAAATTTCACCAAATGATTATTAAATTAATTGGTAAAAAATGTGTAATTTAACTGAAAATTAAAAAGAAAAAAAAATTATTTGAAACAATGAGTGATTTTTTTTATTAATGATGTTAAAAATTAAGTATCATCACACAGAAATAATTATTTTAATAGATTTTATCACTTTTTTGAAACATTTAAGAGTATATTTTGTTTAAAACGAATTTATTAGGACTATCATTTAATAAAGGGAAATTGTTGAAGTATCTGATAAAAAAAAACTATGTTTAAAGTTTATGACTATTTTATTAACTATTATTTATTAGGCAAACTAAAAGAAAAAAAGGTAACTATTCAATAATTCTAAAACATTTCTAAAACAATTCGGAACAAATATCATTGTTACCAATTACAAAATAATATAACAATAAATTAGATTTAAAAGCATAAATAATTGGATAGTATTCTTTTAGTTTTCATTATTGCAATGCATTATGTACAATAACACTGATATACTAACTGATAAAAAATACGATTATTAACAACAAAAATTGGTTAGGTCAAGGTTTGTTTTATGTTACATTAGATGTATATTAAAAAAAGTAATTGGATAAAATCATCTCATGTCAAATATTTAAAAATAGCTAAGAAAAATGTGTTGGTATCTTATGATAATAAGATTAKGTAGGATCAAAATATAAAATTGAGAATAAAAAATACTTATTTAAAAAATTTGTATTGTGTTAATATWAATTATGGTATAAAAACTATATTATAAGAAGTTAGAATATGGTAGAAAGTTAAAATGCAATAGCTGAATGTAAAAAATTATAAATATTTATGGCGGCCTTTATCGGTTATTATTCAAATTATTATGTTTAATACTATACTATTAGATGGGGTTAAATTGTAAAAAGTTTAAAATATTTAGAAAAAATTTGAATATTACCCAAGATGGATAACATWAAAAATTATTTGAAAATAGTTTTATCTTAAATTACATAACTTTCAAATAAATAAAACCTTAGTTAAAATATCCAATATAACTAATAATCTTAACATAACTGTATAAAATGATAAAATAATGTTTTATTATAAATTTATACATTTAAGTAATAATAACAGACTTTTATAACGGGAAAAAAAAAATGTTAAAATTGAATTACCTAGTAAATGTTTTAAAAAATTTTCATTTCTATTAAACAATATTTCTTTTAATACCAAGAATATTTATATGTCTAGTTTAAAATAACGTTATAAAATAACTTGAAATATTTACATCGGAAAAATAATACATTTAAATTGTTAATAGACATCAGACATGGGGTACACAATAATAATAAATATTTAGAATAGACATATTATTTAAACACACATTATTAAAATCCAATTAATAATAACATACTTAAAAAAAAAACATCAAGCAAACTCAAATTATGTAATTAATTAAGACAATGGAATGATGACTAGTAAAACTGAGAGAAAACATTGTGTATAAGGTTATGAAATTGCACTTGTAATATTGAATTAATAGTCCAATTTATAAAATATAAAAATGATTTAATCAAATTGATTAATTAAACATAATTAGTCACTTGTGGTAATTACAGGTATACTCTAACAAATATCATGCTCTRGAATTTGACTAAGAAATTAAAATTGAACCTTATCTTTAAAAAAGTAAAACAATTTAAAAAAATTTTTGTTATTAAACAATAAAAAATAGTAATTTTTCTTCAATAAAGATGCAAAATAAATATTTTGAATAACTATTTAGTTTTGAATTATGAGTGTCTCTAAAGTTAAATGGAATACCTAGTAAACTAAAAAAWTTTTACCAATTTATGTAAAAGGCCGCCACAGAAGTATTTTTCTATACAGTAAATTGAGATGAAATTTGTTTGAACATATTATATTAGTCTGTACAGATGTACAGCCAAATCTGGTTAAGCCAAACAAAAACATAAAAAAAAAATAATTTATAAACATCCACACATATTACTAATACTAATAATAATATAATATAATAGACTATACCATTATATTAAACTTGATCATGAGCTAATAGTATAATTTTGCCATACTAAAAAAAAGGGATTTGTTTGTTGGGTTGGTAATTTTATACTCCTAGCATTGAACAAACATGATTCAAACTTAACAATTAATTAATAGAACTATTTTTTTTAAATATTTTTCCCATGATGATTTTTATTTGAATGTAGTAAATTTGTTACAGTAATGGTTTTGGATCATTATTCATTAGTGTTGAAAAATAATAAAATAATATTATGATGTATTAATGAGTAAATAGTTAGAATGATATTAATATTGTAATAAAGAACTACATAAAAAAAAAAAAATGATTTTATCCATCAAATGTATAAAACTGCTTTAATTGATAGAAATCTTGTATACAAATCCAATTGTCTTTATAATTTTAAAACAGTGATAATAATGGAAGTAAAAAGGTATTTTTTTTATTTAAAAGATTTAAATGGAAAAATACCTTACTCATCTCAAGATAAATTTAATCAACACAAAAAAAATTTCGATGATGGGGATGTGATCAGCATTTTTAATGAAGAAGATATTTATGAAATGTTTTTTAGGTATCTTGCATTAAATTCTATAATTTTCTAAGTACTATACTAGTCTTTCATATTAATATTTTTAGCGTAGCTAGTATAAATAAAGATTGCAAATATTATACCGGCAAATCAGTAATTAAGTACCTTATTTAAATATATTGCAATTATAAACTAAAAATAGTTGGTTATTTTCCAAAATGTAAAACTAGAAAAATGTTGATGATAATTAATTTTTACTATCACTAATCATAATTGTTAATATATGTTATTTTTTTTTTTATATTACCAATATTTCTATTTTAAATTCTGATAAATTAATAGAAGGTTAATTTATAGTGATTTAAATTTACTAAGTAATTTAAACATACAATTTCTAAAAAWTTGAAGATACTAATAGACTTGTTTAATGTACCAAAACAGTAATTGAGTAATTAGTCAAACTACTTAACAGCTACTTTTAAACTACATACGAGTTTATGAATTTCTATGATTGAGAAATTAATACTCCATTTTGTTTATTTGGCGAAAGAGCATTTCCATTTGGTAAAGTGAGTGAACTATGACTACCATTAGCCACATTATTTATACTAGTAATTGATGTYGATGGCAATACATTAAAGCAGCTTCCTCCAGACATGAGTTCCAAAGCCCGATATAATAATAAGTAATTTTCCTATTCAAAATAAATAATAAATAGTACACATAMATATTATGTTTTTTGATAGTTTAACTTACTATATCCTTCCAAATGCCGGGTCTTTGATTATGGTAAAGTTTAGCATACAATGCAATATCAACTACATTTTCATGTTGCAGTTGCTTACCTATAGTTGTTAAACAACAAAATATTGCTGCTTCTGTTCCACCATATCTACAATAAAGTGATATTTAAAATAAGCAAGTTAATATTTATAGTTTTTTAGTAAATATTTAAAATYAAAACAATTAAAAAAATTAAAGCTGATCTTTATCTGTAAAAAATGTATACTTAACAATTAATGGATCTCTAAACATTTAAGGTTAACATTATGGTTTTATTTTTATTTAAAGCTTATTAATTTCAAGTATATTGTAAGTCAATCAGTTAGGTATAAATTAATTGAATAATAGACTGCAGTATAGATAATTTTTATGACACTTTATATTGTAAGCCTTATTTACATACAAATTATAAAACTATGTTTTAGAGTAATATTAAATGAAGCTACCTTTATTAATATTTTTATCAATATGTATGCTATTTAATAAATTATCAAACAACTAAATAATAAAATATAATCATGTATCTACAATTTTTATTGTATTTACATTACTATTATTTTATATATCATATGAACAAATACTCACTTATCTACTACAACAATTGGACCATTTTGGTATTCTAAATGCCACATTTGTACAATTTCTAATAATTTAATCAATGAGGATAATTCTCTCACAGAATATTTACTGTGAATTAATCTAACTGGAAGCATAAAATCATCTTGTACAGAYTGAATGACAAGATCTCTTGTTTCATAATCATCTCCTATTTTGTCTTCTTGAACACTTTTAACTTTAAAATTATCACTATCTAATGTTGTGTCAGAGTCCATAGGCCAAAATTTAATAAGTGAGTCCTATATTATAATAAAAATTCATATTTTAATTAGTTTTAAACCATTAAAGTAAATACAACAAACCGTGTCTTCACTCATATCAGTTAATATTACTACAGTCTGTGCATTGTGGTCCCAGAGCATTTGCCAAAAATCTAAAACTGTATTTTCTAGAGGATGCTGTGTAACAATGAATTCTCCTAGTCGTTTAAACCCTGAAAATATAAAATATAATATTTAAGTTGTATAATTATATACTAGAAAAATTTGTCATGATCATAATTGAAGTTGAAACTAGTATCGTTTTTTCCATATGAGGAGTTTTGACTATTGACCAATAGTAAGCCCAATTGGTCTAGTCAGGTTGATGAATAGGTCGTCAATTTAAAATTTTGTTTGGGCATCTGTAGGTTTCTGCTTTGCCCRGTTTGAAGAATGATGGTATCTTTTCCTAGACTACTTAGTTCCTAGAGATCCAATTGCTTATCCATAAAGAGATTTCACATATACTCTAATATTATAGTGTGAATCATAAAAAATGGCTTAAATAAATTATGAGTTCTACCAACTTCTAGTTATGATTTATCCCTAAGAGTGTGTTTTACTCATTGATTTAAATTTAAATTTAATTTAAGGTTTGTACCCACGAAGTAAAAAATGAATATAATTTCAAATTCTTAATATTTATGTGAATTTATCATGGCAATTCTGATCTAAGTCAACAAATTTATTTAATATATAATTATTTTAGTGGAATATAAATTAGTTACCAATTATCCAAGATGCATTAATGTAATCACTTCCTTCAATTCCAGGTTTTGGTGTTAAGTGCACTCGAGAATTTTCAACGGGAATAAATTCTTGAGATCTATTTTTACTTTGATTAAATGGTTTATTTGCAGAAAGTAAYAAATATTCTTGTGGGACAAATGATGTTATCATCTGCAAGATAAATAAAATATAAATAATCATAAAAAAAAATTATTTTCTAAAATATTTCTAGTTATTCAAACCTTATAATGTTTTTCAAAATCTGAGGCAAATGATGCAATTTTACAATCGGCTATGTCTGTTTGAAGATAACTTTTTAGGGTTTTTTTATTAATGCTAGAATACATACAATTTATTGCTTCTAATAGAGCGTCATGGATAAATATATACTGTTCTTCAGTTTGAACTAAAAAATTTCTTTGCTGTCTAATGTGCTTTAAGAAATCAAATATATTCACTTCTTTTTCACTTTTAATTTGTTTTAGCATAGTGTCTAATACAATATATGTACCAGTTCTACCGACGCCAGCACTAAAAAATAAATTTAATTAACATGATTTATCAGTTTTTTTTTAAACTTTAAACTAAATTATAAACACATAAATTTATTAACATACCTGCAATGAACAACAATAGGACCAGCATCAGCAGGATTAGCACCAGCTGATTTATTCACAAAACTTAAAATTGGCAAAGGATGATCGGGCGTTCCATGATCAGGCCAATTAGTATAATGATATTGATATATAGTTCTACCTAATGGCATGTTTTTTTTCTTTTTAGCCTAAAAAAATATTTTTYTTAAACTTCTTTTATTTCGAAAATATATAATAAAATAATATTACTCGTGTATGATGCACTTGAAATGTACGAACAGTATACATAGCCATAAGTTCTTCTTTTAATAGTTTAACCTGAATGAAACCATATGTTTCAATACCTTCATTTGGCCAGTATAAATCACACTTCCTCTATTAAAAAAAAAAAAAATAAACAGTAAGTCTAATAAACATTTTTGCACTATTTTCTATAATTAATTTTGTGTTTCATAATTTTTTTGTACTTAAAATTGCATTATATACAACAGAATCAAGCAGATTATACAAAAAAAAAAAAATGATGAAAATTAAACATAAAAATGTATTTAGAGACAATTTGAATTTTTCACTTTCTAATCTACAAATCTTCACAGATAATTCCAAAACCAACAAGTATTTGGATATAATATTAATACACTCAAGGCACCAAATAAAATTAAATTTTAAGGTTAATTAATGTTTTTTCTTTTTTGACAATCATTATTTTTAAAATGTTTATAATAGATAATTACAGTATTGAACATAGTAGACTATAAATTATTATAAACAATACACTTATACTATATGATGTTAAGATAAATATAAACTTAATTGCATAACCACTAGTCTAACTAAGTATAGCACCGTGATCTAATAATATTATATTTGGTCATGTGTGCTTGGTAAGTGTGCTTCATAACTTAATAAAGATCGCCACACCACTGATGTGGAGAACCAAGCTTTATTGTATACAAGGTCGCCMGCAGGGAGGGAGGGCAACGACCCCTGCTAATTAAGATATTACCTAATTTATATAAAAAACAGAATTTATGGTAAGTGTATTATTTTTTGCTGCCCCCCCCCACATCCCCCCCACCGAGAAAAATTTCTGCGGGCGGCCTTGATTGTATACAGAATATACTTCTCAATGTAGAAATTATCTTTAGCACATATTCTATACAATGATCAAAATATAGTAGAATTTCTGAAGAAAGAGGTAAAGCTATAATTATTATGTAGTTTTAGTAGTAGATTTTGATKTTAATGCATTCTCCGTCATTAGGCTACAAGTAGCTGAAATTATTATTAAACTTCTTTATGAAGAAGAAAAAATAATAAAAATATTCAACTAATTTATTGATTTGATTGACAATTTACAACCTAAATAACATTTTTATCCTTGAATCAAATCATTATAAAATTATAAATAATAATAGCAGTCACAGGCTGAACTCCAAAAATTAAAACATTAATGGTGGGTAAGACTTTGGTTACAAATTATTAAAAAGGGGGSTTATTTCTAAGTATGCTTTGAAGTTGAAATTATTGTGAGATGATTGGTTAACAAACTAAATTGTTAACCTAAAAATATTATTATACTTAAAACTGATATTTAAAGTAAAGTGAAATAATCACATAATATCTTTAAAAGTATGAATCAAATATGAGGTTCCAGTTTCCTACTTATCTCTACCACAATATTTTAAATTAACTTTTAACACGAAACACTATTAGATTATACAGAATAAATTGTAAGATAATAAATTCAGTTTTAAAATTAAAAAAATTTAATTTTTAAATTTATTTTATGATCAATTTTAATTATACTGATTCTTCAAATATATTACCCGGCCACGTTCCACTAAATTTGTTATCATCACAATAACATGAACATGTTGTTCCCACACCATTTGCCAAAAATCAATAATTGTTGATGGTAATGGTCCTTGTGTACCAATGTATGCATTAGCTTTTTCAAAACCATCAATATAGTTAGCGTTTATATAGTCAGAATGACTTCCTGGAATATTATTAACGTGGAGTTTAACTCTGCTATGATCGTCTGTAAATTAAAATATTATCAAACGAATCATTGATTACACAATTTTAAATAAAACCTATAAAAAATAAACAAAAGTTGATTAAATTAGTATATATTTTGTATTAATTGATTTTTAATTACAATCCATTCTATATACATTATGGTTATGGATAATGTAATGATAGCCAAATGTCATTATTAGCAAAGAATAAATAAGAAACCACACTCTAAGAGCAGCAGTCCTCACTAGGATTTTCGAAAAGGCCAAATATAATTTTTGAAAATCACTTGGGGGCCACTTGCATTTTTATTAATGTCATATTTATTTTAATTTGTATGATCTGTATAAAATATTTTTACAATAAGCACAATAGATGAAAGAATGCATAAGGGAGCTTGGTTGGATTGATTAGAAAAACTGTTCAATAATAGTACTTCATGCTTACATTTTCACTGAATTTAGTGAAGAATAGTAAAAATAATAATAATAATAATAAAACGAGACAAGATATTTTGTAAGAAAASGGTATTGTAGAAAAAGTTCATGTATRACACAAACGTTTTTCTTGAACTATCTATTTCGAATTTTAGAATATACAATTTTATTTTAGTACAGACCGTGTAGTGGAGACTGCTGCTCTAYAGTATGATATAATAGTGGAGACCTGGCCACAAAGTTACTAACATACCAATGGAGGCTCCGCATATGAGTTTGTRCATTTTTTTATTAAGAATCTATTTGTATAGTAGTATTTACAATGATATTTATTTATTTTGTTTGTTGCTTTAAAATCATTTTAATTCATCTTTTTATCAAAGAATAATTAGCAAAATTATAGCTAAAACCCAAATTGATTAAATAACAACTATAGTATCAAACTTATGCATAGGCGCAAATAGGGGGGCCAGGGGGGCWTAGCCCTCCCTAAGAATTGCTATAGCCCCCCAAAAATAACTACATGATACACATTATTTAATTTAAACGCATCATAAGAGTATTCAGTATCCTGATCTGAGCTACAGCTTCAGCCCCCTCAGATTTCAAACACTATTTGTGCCTATGAACTATATTATGTTAATAATATTTTGGACAACATATGCGTGTATAATGTCTTCTTAAAAACGTACATTATAGCAAACACTATTCTATGCGAAACAACTTTATTTCCTCTGAATTTATCACAGAATTTCCAAAATTTGACAAGGCATACTGAAATTTTTTCCTGTTTTGTGCGTTTCTATTATTTAAACAAATAAAGTTCTTCTCTATGCTTTGTTGAATTTTGGTAGTTTTAAAAATAAAATTTGGTTTGCGTAAAAATAACCATTTTTTTTTTTTTGTTTTTTTCCCTGACTATGAAAACCACTAGGAATTTTAATTTTAATAATATAAAATTACCAAAAAGATTCACTTTATTATTTGAAAAGATACTGAAACAAAAATCGTAATATTTTTACTATCTCCAATATTTATGACAGAAAAAAATGCATATCATTGTAAATACAATACATTYATTTGCTTCACTCAGAATTTAATATTAAGAGGGCATCATATCTGCATGTYGTGTCAACAAGGTAAATAATTTACGTTCATCGTTCATTAGTTTCAATAGAGTACTGGTTAATTTTAAAATTAGAGCGAACTAACCTATTATCAAACTTTTAGATAAGAACATTATCTGTGTTTTCTTGTTAGTTTTTTGGATGTTTTCATTTTTAAACGAATTAAAAGTATTTTCAAATATTAATATTATGTATTCTCATAATTCACTTAAAATTAAAATAGTATCGCGTAAAAATAACGAGAGAACACAAATCATGTTTTTATCTAAAAGTTTGATGAGACACTCAATTATAAAAACTGATAGCACTCTATTAAAACTGGTGAATGAAAATTTACAATGCCCTATGTGTGTAAGACTGAAACAATATAATATGTCGTTATGACGTCCTCATAATTATTACATTTTTTATCAAATTATGGCCAACACCCGGTCAGAGGCTCAAGGTAATTAGGTAACTCATTTATTTATTACAKGAAGATAGAATGTCATACCCTTGATAAACTACCATGCATTTTGTTGAATATTAGCCAATGGATTCTAAATAATTTTGTAAAAACTATAATAATAATACCATAAATACATTATTTTTTACAATTTGTATTGTTAAAAGCGTAAGTTAATTCAAATTACTGGATATGAACTGATCTCGGGGGRAAAAGATGTCTGACTAAAACAATTAATATATTCTATAAATATAACAATCCAAATTAAGGTCTCAAATATACGAAAACGTGTAGACAACAATGTTCAAGAGATAGCGTTATTAGCCTTATACTCACTATATAGGGCTTCTTACGGAACAGGAGATGAATCTCCTCTACAATTTTGATCATAAGTTTTTACAATAAAATTACTCYGTAACCCATATTCTTTGAACGTACAAACGTGTTTTAAATTAAACTTTTGAAGTACATATTTTAATGAGATGCCTATTTAATTATTATTTCATACATAACAATATAAGAATATTTAATACAAAAGAAGCAATAATATTAGAATACCATTTCTAATCTACAATGGTGGATACCTGAATTTCTCATTGTAAACTAGTGGAGCACATGAAAGGAATACAGAAGACTACATTAAATTTTATGGTCAGCTTTCAACAAATACATAGGCATGCAACTGACTTTTACCTAAAAAMCCTTATTTTTATAACTACACATTAAGGTGTACTTAATTTTAAGCTACGAGTGCTATAAATAAAACAAGGTTCACTTATTAATTAATGAGTGCACCAAAGCTGGTAGCTTAATGTTTAATAATTAAAATCTTGAAAATGTTAAAAATTCTACTCAATTAAGATTAAATCTATAAAGTGCYCATCCATAAATTTAACCCGTATACCACTAAGATAAATTAATAAGATTTATCTTACTCTTTCAGAGGGGTTTATTGTCTTCTCAATTAAATAAAAAAGCACTAATGCAATTAGATTACGGTTACATTATAGTATAAAGAGGTAACAGAATTATATGGAACTAAAAATGTAATATCTTCACTGTATTAATATTAGCTGGGTTATATTTAAACTAAGGATACATAACTACTCTAGCTAAAGTTTATGGCTTATGTCAACATTATCTGTAACATATATAATATCAGAGTATTATATCAGAGAGGCAATCATCTTAGGAATTAGACAAAACTAAGCACTCTGTTATCAAATACACTTTGAACATTGTTKTAGACTCTCATTCCAAATATATGAGTAGATTACAGTAGCATAATTTACTTTAATTTATTTGCTTACAAGGAACTATGTTGAGGTATCGGTTTTTTGATTTATTTTCTGGTAGTTGTGATGATTCAGTTGAAAAATCAAAATTCATAGACTCCTCTTGAATAATTTCATATTCTTTGCTAAAACCAATATCCCCATCAACATGTAAATTAGCAACATGCCTAGCAAAACCATCCACTGTTACAACATGAGATTCTTGTTTGTGCTTCCACCAATCAGAATTTGGTAATGTTGGTACAGTATGTGACACAAATGGTGGATCCTCCAGATAATAATAAGCAGCATGAAAGTATACCCTACACACAGGATGGCATCTATAGTACAAAACATTTATTTT